GGCAAGGTCAAAGAAATTATGTAACGCGCACCTCATAACATTTAGCACTTTTTCTTTTTTGAGTAAGTGCATTTTCCAGTGTGAATGCACATGCTCGCGTGGACAAGTCGCAGCCTCTTGCGACGATCAATGTAACGACTGAGCGCACCATGTTCAAATTAGCCAATGGCTAATAGATGGCCTTTGATTTGCAAGCGTCTTCCGTCATTTGTCGAGAGAAGAGAAAGTAGTTTTTAGCCTAACTTGATAAATATTGGAATAACAGGCCGCGTGCCGCGCTATATTATTTGTGTCGTGTGTTCTTGAAAGCCTCCACTGCTGATCAACAGTGTTTTCCATTCATCCTCAAAAAGTGTTGCAGGGCCAAGTCACCCATCAGAATAGTATACTGTGTACTTACTTTATTAATGACTGACTCTACATCTTCAGTGAAACGTTCTACCAAATCATCATCATGGCTCGATGCAGGCACGTCGGTCTGTACCACCTTCGTATTGTACATTTGTTAAACCTAATTGCGATACCCGCCACCCTTTCTCTGATGCTACGAAATTCCCCTATCTTGCCAGCGATATGTTTGTGTATGAGAAACCCTACCCCTAGTTCGTTTCTGTCTACTAATCCACGGTACCATAGGGAATGTCCATTCTTAGGCACTGTATAGGCCTCCAGATTCCAATGGAGGCCTGCCCAAATTTAGGAACTATAAGTATCCTCCGCTGCGACGCTGGTCTGACCGCCGCCTTGGACCATTGTTTCGCAGCCGCTGGGGACTGAGAGCCGAGGGTTAATTGCTGTATTCATGGGATGTTGTGGTCAGGCACTACACCAGCGTGGCCAATCTTGCTATGATAAGGGAGTGCATTACCGGCAGCTGGTCACCAGTGAGGCAGCACCCCTGACCTCCCTTTTTAAATGCGAATGCCTTTCTTAGTTGGCTATGTCAAGCATCCGGCGTTGTCCGCTGCGGTGTCCGCGCGCCGGCAGGTGTTCTCTCTGCTTCAATTGCCTCTCCCACAGCGACCGCTGCGGGCACTTGCGCTTATCCTCGCCCCTAGCAACCAAACCATGCGGTGCGAATGAATATAGGAAAGAGTAGGTGTAATGCTTCACCACTCTCTCGCCCTTCGCTATCTCTCCTCTCTGCACTCCAGTCAACCGTCCGCTCGCGGCCCACTCTTCATCGTTGTTTGGCTGGGCGCCCCTCAAGGCGATGGTAGAAGTCACTGAAGGCAAATGTGTGACGGCAACGGTACCCTCGTTCGGTGAAATAAAGGTGTTTAGAAGAAATGTTTAGCAATATTGAGTACTTCGTACTCAACTACGGGAGAGCACTGAGCCGTCCCGCTAAAATTTGTATATTCAAGAAATTAAATGCTTTCACATTTCCTGACGATTTACATCGGGGAGGTGGCTGCATCGCAAGTGCTTTTAGGTACAATCTTACGTTGGGGCAACATAACTGGTGATGGGGGGGGGGGGGGGGCTAGCCTTATGATAAATATTTTAAGTTTACCTGATCGTTTAGATGGTGTACAATTATATTAGGGGCCGGAAGTAACGTAGATTATGGCTTTTATCAAATAATAATAAAAATATTAGCGTATTAAAGCCTCGTTAAACAGGCCGTGGCAAGAAGTTATTAACAGTACGCAAAAGAACCATTGCACCTTTAAATGTGTGAAAAATTACGTAGTAAAGAGGGCACAAATATTGTAAGTGCCCAAGAAAATCAATAACAGCTTACTTTACTAACTCTGTGCTTTTTGTTACAAAATTTTTACTCGTTGTTTTTAAAGTGCATGCTTAACGTACAGTGATTCGGGCGTGAACAGGTATGAATTAGTTCGAATGCAGGTTAAGTTTAACAAACTTCTCATAATGCAAGGTTGTGGGCCGCATCAGTCAACCTAAGGGGCGGGTGAATTAAAATACCTGCTTTAATTTCACGCAACGTGCAGTATGGACACCTCGACGTAAATTCAAGCTTCACGAGCGTTACGTAATACAAAGCAACATACTGCAACACGCAATACCTCGAGTATCACGATAGTTGAAAGATTCATGTTGTCGCGGGTGCATACATCGATCTTTGTTAGGTCACCCGCTAGGAAAACGCGTCTTACACACCTTCCACGAGCTTAACCACCTTTCAATTGTGTGTCAAAGCGGAAGACTGCAAAGACGGCGAGGAATATTTAGCGAGTGTAATGAAAGTATGAACTTTTGTGTTTTTTCACAACTTCGAATTGATGTAATTACCGGCAGAGCTAGACAATTTCAATTTGTTTCTATTAGATGGCCCCCAACCTCCACATGAATCAACGAAGCTGAAATGCAAAGAAATGAGCAAGGGTCTTTGACAGCAGGTATAGAACTTGGTCTAGTACCAGAATAACATGCAACAAAATTTCATTAATCCCATTGTAGCAGTGACGACTAGAAACAGCATCACCAATGCTATAGAGTAAGTAAAAGGCTGCACATCTACCATGAGCTAGATTCCAAAACTACCAAGGATTGTTGATCAGTAGTGCCGGTAAGGTTTCCTGTCTATCAGTATAGCGGGTAAGGTTGGAATCTGTTTCTAGCCTATGCAATTGCGTTCGTGTACTCATTTTGAGCGACAAAGTACGTGCGCCAACGCTCAGGCGTCAGCACCACGAGCTTTGGACAAAAAAAACATGTTTTTTTAGGACTGCAGACGTACATGAAAATAGTGACCCTTAAGCATAAAGCACTCTTGTTTATTGGTGTGAGTACAGAAACCTGGCAATTAGTATGTGATGAATTCCACAAGTTCATAATTTGTTGCCAAGAAGTAGGCAATTTTATAGCCCTTCATAAGTTTACCTTGATTCATACATCGTAAATAGGCGTGAGTAGTGCATAGAGTGAAAGAGTGATCACTTTGACCAGGCGTAAAGACTATGGGTAAGATCAGTTCTGGAGTAGCTGTAAGCAGCAAATCTAGTACATCAGCAGAAAGAGCTGAGCAACGAGTAGTTGCTTAACGTTCAAATCTAAACAAACAATAAAATTAAGAAACATTATTTTAAGTTGGCCACAAGACTTGGTGGCTCAAAAAAATTATAGAACGCAAGTCGAAATGACAAAAAAGAAATAAAGGGCATTTGGGAAACCGGACAGTCATCCTGTTTTGAACACCTCGCGATTTTCAATAAATTGATGTTGAAGACTGTGGCGGCTTCTAGCACACACTGAACATAAACTTTCTTGTCCCTATAGACACACATGCAACAATAAATTCTCAGTTAGTGTCGATAACAGCCGAACAAAAATTAAAGACACTCCGGCCAGCTATCAACACACAACTGCCTTGGAGATCAGTACTATCTGAGCAATAAATTTTGTAACCCACTTCACAATGCAATATTTCGAATTCACGAATTGCCGAAGAGAGCCAAGTCTCTAAACAGTACCACATCTGCAGAAGACGTGTCCATCATGGAATGTAAGTCGTCACGCTTGTTACACAGACTACAGACTTAGGAACACAGTAGAGACAGCTGTCTGCATGGTTGTGGTCGTGCTATAGCTATGTTTCTCGTGCACGTGAACTAGAAGCAGCTAGAAGAGCGATTGGGGACGTGTTACTAGTGTTACGGTTGCGCTCCTCGTTAGCCTCTAGTTTGCGCATATGGCTGGTAACATGGTGATACACATAAGCAGCTTTTTAAGTATGCAATGTATTGAAGCCCAGTGAGCATGACTCCCCACATTCTTCCAAAATATTATGAACTTTTTCGCCAGTGCCGTGCTGTCCTCGAGAAGTCTTCACTAACTGACCATTTGGGTGGCTGAAATGTTTTCCTGGGAAAACAAAAAACACTATCCTTCAATTTTCGCGACGACAATTTAACAATAATAGGCCTACACATAACGAAAACTTAGGCGCGATGCCAACGCGCATGCTGTATGGCTTCATCCGATAACTTGAATCCATGTTTTTGAGATATAATGTAACTTACTAGTTTTTCAATCTACGTCCAACCTTCAGAAGCATTGTCACAATGGCAAAAAATACGAAATTATCTCTACGAGACCGATCTCCCGACTCTTCAAGCCGGATATAAAAAGCTGTTGCGCTTTTTACTGATTGAGAATGATTATATTTTAAGTAGTCAACGTAATGCAAGCAAACAATGAATAATTTGAATTTCATTTCTTACATTTTTACGTACAGTTCACTTCAACAGCAAAGCGATTCTTTTTTGCATCTGACAATAAAAACCACCACCACACTTTACGCAGACTATGCGATTCATACAAACAAAACATGAATGAATTTGAGTTTTATTTCCTACTTTTTTCAAAACAAACATTGTAGGCAATCTGATGTGTGGAGACGTAGCCAAATGCTAGTGTGGGCCCAAAAAGCAACATTTGCAAAGTTGCACTTCAGTAAAGCACAACTAAAATAAAGTTAAAAAATTATATCGAATATTGAAGAGAGAGTCCAGAAGCAGTACAGTCCACAAAACAACCACGCTAGATGAAAATGAAACGTTATAGGGCAGTAAAGAACGACAGTATCATAACATAGGGCACGCGCGTTTTAAGTCTGCTCTTTCGCACTAAGTCCGCTGCAGTCTAACTGTATTGCCCAGCTAAAGACGATGGAAGTGTCTTCGCACTACTCAACTTAGCCAAGACTCATGCACTGTTCAGTTCTATTGAGACTGATCTGAAGTGCCCCAACACACCGTATTTTTCCTAGCCACAACGCGATGTCGGCAAAAGGAGAGTGAAATCACAGAATGTTGATTTCACAACGAACTCTGCAGTTCGTTATACATACCAAAGCGGAGCCACCAGGCCTTTGCGCAAAAAAAAAAAAAAAGCGGAAACGCAGCGGCACATATCTGATTAGGCGAAACCAGCCGGCGGATGCGTTCGAGGCGAGAGTGGCGCCATCAGTGACGGGAGACGATTTTGGTTTGTTTGTTTTTCAACACCATTGCATGAGCGGACGCAAGGGGTGGTGTGGAAACTGTTTTAGTTCCCAGTCTTCGCGCCGCCCTAGCGCATGACGCAATAGCAGTGTCACAAACTCTGCGCAAACGTCGCTAGCAAGCGAATACATCCGAGGATTGTTTTTGATGCGCTGCGCCGGATAATTTTGTGAGAAAAACAACCCGCCTCTATTGGGACCAGTTAGGTATAGCAGCAGAATGTTTTTCGGGCAGATGCGGCCGATGCTGTCGCCGTGAGCGAGAATGGGCCTCTAGCCGTGCCGAACCAGGCACGCTTTTTGATCGTGAGGACCAACTAGCGTACTTTGCTTTTGAACCAGAATACCAGTGCTCGGAGACCTCTGAAGTTGGCGTGAGAAGCGAACGTTCACGTTATAGCTGCAAGCGTGCGTATTCTGGTAAGTCATGTTGTCTTCCTCAATTGTCGCTTACTTCCCGCTGTTCTGACCGTTATTAGTGATTGTTTTCTCAGATGCGGCCTTTCCTTCGTACGTAGCATTGATACGTTACAGGCCACCATAAGTTCATTGAGTTTCATTTTAGACTTCCGAGTGGGTGACCTGCATTTTCTAATAGCGACCACTCTGATATTGAAATTATTGTTAAGATTATGTCATGTTAAGTTCAATAAATATTCGCCCCGCCGCGGTGGTCTAGTGGCTAAGGTACTCGGCTGCTGATCCGCAGGGCGCGGGTTCAAATCCCGGCTGCGGCGGCTGCATTTCCGATGGAGGCGGAAATGTTGTAGGCCCGTGTGCTCAGATTTGGGTGCACCTTAAAGAACCCCAGGTGGTCTAAATTTCCGGAGCCCTCCACTACGGCGTCTCTCATAATCATATAATGGTTTTGGGACGTTAAGCCCCACATATCAATCAATCAATCAATAAATATTCAGTGGGAGCTAGTTGGTATGTATTCGTGCTTATGCTGCACTAGATTCTTACACAACTGCAAAACGAGAAATGCACATGTGTTTAGTACTGGTGTCTCAATTCAGCGCAGCAAAAGAACGATAACTTGTACGGATGGGCGGCACGCCAGGATCAGATGGTGAAGAGCAGATGAGGAAGTGGACGAGAGGACTTCTACCTACACTCATCCGTTTGAAAAACATCCCAATTTTACAATGCCCGTCAAAAAATCAGAGTAGCTGTCTAAAAAGACGGATAGTTAGAGATGTCGTGGCAATGTAGAGGAAGTAATGCAGCAAACATACACACAACTGGGAAAAAAACACTAAGCAACCACTTGACAATTATTTTGTTATGTGGTTGGTTCAATTGTACCTTTTGAACAACCATGTCTTGTCAACGACCGTGATGAGTGAGAAATGTAGGTCTTAGTGCAGTGTAAAAAAAACACGATTTCTTGAGTCACCGGAAAGGAATGTTTAAGCAATGTTATCCGCTGGCCGACTCTGAAAAGCTTTGTCCACTTTATTCACCATGCATTTATTTTATTTAACATTGCTGTCAGACTGAAATTACTGTGTGCTTTTTATGACAATTTAACAGTAGTAATCTACTATTTTCTCAAGTTCTTACATCAGATGGCTCCGTATTGCATGGCTCGCTGCCCCAGTTATATTTTATGTAGCTGTGAACTAATCGTACCTAGCAGACGAATGACAATCTTGATGGCACCGAGGACATCTTTTCTTTTTATATGGCCAGCTCAATATGGGTTGGATAAAGTTAGCATACCACCACTCTGTAGCAACGCCGCCAAGCGCAGATTCATAAAATTACGTATGCTCAGAAACGCCAAAACATAACAGAAGAAAACGTTTTTTTGTGTAGTGTCCGCTCATGAAATTAGCATTAAAGAGCTCATTTCACGCGAAGTTTGGTGTCGCCGTCAAAGACGTTGCTTTTGAGCAAAAAGTGGGGGATCGCTAGGTGGCGTCGAGGAGCGTGGACGTGAAAACGTCAGCTCCCGTTTTTCTAAATGATTTCGGTCGTTTCTTTGCTCCAAGATCACTTGGCTTTGTACTTATTCGAACAAGCAAGCTCTGCGGCTTCAGTGGAGATGCCATTTTTGGCGGTGAGTAAACTCTTAGACATATTTTTGGACTTTAAATTTGCGACGTGGCGAGCGTCCCCGCTAACCCTAACCACACCTAGGGTTGGCGAGGAGTATGGCCGTTACACGTAGCCAAGGGCTCGGCCAGACGTGGCAGCTACTGGATCAACCTCCGTACGTCGCAGCCGACAATCAGGCACTGAAAATGCCTTCCACCATAACCGTGGAGGGAATGGAAGTAAGCGCGGAGATTTTCGACAGACCAGGATAAGCCACCACCATGGGACGCCGAAGACAGACGACTCCGTCGAACGAGGAGCTGGCTGCTGGGACGGTCGAGCACAGCATCCAGCCGAAGCATCCAAGGGGCTTTAAAAAAAGTCAATCGGCACTACACCGCGCGGTATCCGCTTCCAGGCTATCCCGCCAACCCAAAGACCAAATCAGGGTAATTATGAGACCCAGAGGAGGATTGGACGTAGCCCGAGTCGACCTCGTTCTGCTAGCAAGAGCCATCATCATGGCCGCCCAGATCACCGACGAACAAGCACGGGAGGACACGATCTGCCCCAACAATATGCAAAACATCATTGTTATTTCTACGCCGTACAAAAATATTGCTACATCATACGTGAACGTGCAGAAACTGCACACAAACCAAGGCTCGTTCGAAGTTGCCGCATACGTGGCCATGCCAGATAATACATGCAAGGGCGTCATCAAGAACGTTGACCTCTCCTTTGACGACACAACGCTCAAAAGCCTGATTGTGCACGACCGAAATCCCACTGCCATCGAGGCAAGACGCATTAAAAAGACCAAAGTAGTCGCAATCCTCTTTGACGGGTTGTGCGTTCCGAGCACAGTGATATGCGGAACCGGCATGGTTCCCTGCTCGCTCTAAAAGCGACAAGTCGATGTTTGCAGAACGTGTGGAGGAGTCGGCTATCGCGCCTATGTTTGCCGGCACACAAACGCAATGAGCAAGAAATGTCACAACTGCGGTGAAACGCTATAAGAAGACGGCGTGCATCACTGCGAGCCGAAATGTAAGCTTTGCGATGGAAATCACCCCACCGGAGATCACGAATGCAAAAGACGCTTCCACACTCAATACATAGTGAGAAGTAGAAGAAGACGCAGAAAGCAAGAGTGGCAAGCACAACAACGTCGAGAGGCACCAACATCTGTCACGTTTAAGGAACCCTGCCACAACCAGGTGCCGGTTTGTGGCATATAATATTGCTACAGGAATGTGGAGAAATCAAAACTGCTAAAACCCTTGGCATACAGGGGTACAGGGTAGCCAGGCCGACCCTGCACCCCGAGCAGAACAACACGCGAGGAGTGGCTACCTTCATCCGGAAGGACATAATGTTCGCCGAAAGGGACGCCCCTGTATACAAAAAAGGCCTGGAAACGGTCCTGGTGAAAATCTTACCACACAGGGCTGTTAAAAGAAGCATCTTTGTGCTCAGTGTTTACAGTCTTCCATCAGATAAGAAAAGAGATTTCAACAGACTGCTTACCTCGGCGGTAAAAATGGCAGGTGACAATCCGCTCATAGTAGCGGGTAATTTTACCGACAGGAGTACCGAATGGGGATACTCAAAAAGCGAAGGCAAAGGCACCAAATTAGCAGAAAGCGCGAATGCGCTGGACCTTCAGCTGATAAACAACCTTGCCTTCCCTTCAAGAAAAGGTAATTCAGTACAGCGGGACACAATGCCGGACTTAACCTTCACTAAGAACGTACCTGGGATAACCTCAACGAAGACCTAGGTAGCGACCACTGCATCCTGGAAATTAACGTGGAGAACGAGGCGAAAGCGCCAAGAAAATTCAAAATCACAGACTGGGACCAGATTGGTAAAATACGGGAGCAGAAGGGCAATACAGAACTTTCATATGAAGCCCTCCTAAATGAATTAAAAATGGCAGCGAATGAGGCCACCAAAGAAGTCGAGACAGATGAATCCACTCAGACAATGGACTCTCACCTGGCCAGTTTGCTGCAGAAAAAGCATGACCTAAAAGAAGCGTGGCGTAAAAACAAGCTCAACAGACACTTACGCACAAAAATCGCGGACCTTGGCCGCGAAATCGAATTTCATGCCAAAACTCTCTGGGCCCAGCAGTGGAACAACACATGTGACGAAGCAGATGGCAAAATGAGGAAGGGAAGCACATAGGGGCTGCTCAAACACCTTATGGTGGACAGTGACAAACCCACCAGAGGCGGCACCCAGCTGGAAATTGAACGATTGGTGCACAAGCTCGCCCGGGATAGTGGTGGATCCAAAGCTCTCCTCAAAACGCTAGGCCAAAAATATCTCCCACTGGAAAGCAAATCAGTAGCCTGGGAAAACAAAAATCCCTCATATGGAGATCGACCATAAGAAAGGTATAAGAACCATACAGCGAAGCTGAAATGCGGTACGCTCTACAACAACTCAATGACAGATCGGCATCAGGGCCAGATGGAATCCACAATAAACTGCTACGGAATCTAGGCGATAAAGCAATTGTAATCATTACTAAGAAGATAAATGAGGCATGGGAAACGGGTACCGTGCCCAAAGAATGCCGTAGTGCCAAAGTTTCGCTCATCCCGAAACCTGGAAAACCGCTAAGCATCGATAACTTAAGGCCCATATCACTCACATCTTGCATTGGAAAAGTAGCTGAGCATGCAATACTCAACCGTATCACGGACCACATTGAGAGCAATGGGTTCTTTCGACACAACATTATTGGCTTCTGCAGGGCACTGTGCACACAGGACGCCATGTTGATGTTAAAAGAACACATACGCTACGGCCTCTTTCACACGGCCAATGCCATATTAGTCCTAGACCTCGCCAAAGCCTTTGACACCGTAAAACATGAACACATACTGGGTGAAATATTGCACATGAACCTAGGCGAGAAATTCTACAACTACATTAAAGGCTTTCTGGCGAACCGAACCGCCACCATACGCATAGGAGAGCAATGCGGCGAACCCGAACGACTCGGGAGTATCGGCACCCCGCAAGGCTCAGTGCTTTTGTCATTGATCTTTAATGTGGCGATGCACAGGTTGTCGGAGAAGGTCACTCAAATCCCATCTGTGCACCATGCCATATACGCGGATGATATTACCATATGGGTCCCATGTGGCCACTCATATAGTGCCTTGGAAGCAATTCTTCAACAAGCACTGACTACAGCTGAATAATTTTTAAAGCCAAGCGGACTCGCACTGTCCCCCACTAAATCTACTCTAACGCTCATTCACCCTCGACGAAATTCGGGCGAAGAGGAGGAGCAAGTAGTGCTCAAAGCTGAGAACAACCAAACGATACCGCAAGTATATACGGTCAAAGTACTAGGG